GAACAACGTTCGGTTTCGAACTGGCTAAGGACAAAGTAAAGTTCAAATATTATATGTAGACATGCAAATCGGTGTTAGTGTATTATTTATGTGCTTTGGGACAACGACCCTGTACCCTTACGATGTAGATTTATGATGACAGTTTTAAAAAATAGCTCTACGAAAATTGAATAAAAAAAGATGATCAATCAGGTGTCAGAATTTTTCTTTCAAAATTGTCTGATGCATTAGTAAATAGTACAGAAATGTTTATTTTATACATTTTTCATTTCCCTGTAAAAATATGTAAAATCAACAATTATATTAAAGTTTCCATATTCTGCAATTCGTAGAGATAAAGTTTAATGTCATACAATTTGAATGAAAAATCCCGATTTGCCATCACAAAGCGCTAGTTTCTAGGAATATAAACATGGACGAAAATGCTATAAAAGATCTATGTAAATATTGTCATACTTTTTGATATCGGGGAGACGTAAATATTTTATAGTGTCGTTTTATATTATGGCTTCTCTGTTTTTTATTCGGGTTCGCATCTGTGTTTATTTTTAAGATTTTGAATAATACCAGAGCGGGTCTGAGAAACAGGTTTTTTGAATAAACAGCTTTTAATCAGTCAATGTCTTCAACACAGAATTTATAAAATTAAATGTATCCATACTACATAAGTAGCTTATTGTCGTTATTGAACTACAATAGGTATTTGTTATCAGTATGATATTTGAAGTAGAATCATATGTATATGATGAGTTTCTTTGTGTATTACACCTTAATTGAAAATTTCATCCAGAATCTTGTATTATTTATAATGCTGGAAGTGCTAGAACTGGGTTTTAGCAAACAAGTTATTACTAATAACTATTGAACTATATTACTAACATTATTCCAATTATCAAAAAGTCCAAACGCCTGAACAAACCTGATACTTCCTTTTCCTGTTGGCGGCTTGTCAATTGTCATCCACTCGGTGTCCCTCCTAGATGAGACACTCACAGTCCTGAAGGTAATTTGTCCCTAGTCTATTGCAGAACTGTGTTTCTCGTAAGTATTTTCCCATCTAGTGTGAACACTCTATACTTATCTGAGAGGTCCCACTGAATCAACTGTGGAAGACATCAGATTCTACCCCAGTGCAGTCAATGCCCACTGGATAGTTAACGTCCACCGGATGAGGACTGTCAAGGCATGGAAAGCAATCCAGGAAACTATGGCCACATAAAGTTTATCGACCTGATGGACGATAACATAGTGGAAATGCAAACGGATCAAATGGTGGTAACCCGTAAGCTTGAAAAGCTATTCAAGGTTATAGCGACCCAAGCATATGTATTAAGCTTAGGTTTTCAATTAAAATACTTCATATCAAAAATATCCATTTATTCAACTAGACTACGAGACAAGACCTGACAAGATGACAAGACCACAGATCAAAAGGAATCACCTGCTGATGTAACTACTGGTGCGTGTCAACTAACAATCTAAAGCTATTGCTCAATTCCGCTTTTTGAAAAAATTTGACCCATAAGTCTCACTTGTTTGGATTTAAATTGAATTCTCCCTTTGTTAAATTTTATGTTCAACCTTTCAGCTCTTTCTTACACAATTTGTAAATTTTGGTCATGCTCTGATTCTGTTGAGCCTTATGATTATGCCATCAAAAGATATTCCCACTCCTGCAATGTCGCCAAAAAATTCAGAGCTTAATTTTTGGAACACCTCTGTGGCTGAACAAATGCCAAATGGTAAACGACAAAATTTATATAACCCAAAAGGAGTTCCAAATGTACACAGATCCGATGACTCATCATCAATACCTACTTGAAAATAACCATCCTTCATATCGAGGACTGTAAAGTATTCTTTATTGCAAAACCTACTTGAAATTTCATCCGATGTGGGAATCAAGACACAATCTTAAGTCAACATTTTTTTGATCAACAATTACCAGGGCGTTAATCCAGTCTGTAGGCTTTTCAACTTTACTTATAATATTTGGACATTCCTGGGGCACACGTTTTAAAGCGTGCTTATCTGGTATAAAACCATTTTTGTCATACGCTCCCAAAAACAGCTATTTTACGGACTCATTTAAGTCCGTAAAATGCTTCTTTTTGGGATTTTTTTTTTCTTTCTGGATGCACCTTTATGATTTCAAAAATTAAGGAAATTTTGCAAATTTTAGCGTTCTGAAGAATTCTAAAAAGCGTATGACAAAAAATAGTGTTTGTCACACGTACCGAACGAAGTTTTTCAAGACGAATCGACAAAAATAACTATTTTGTTCAATTTTATATTTTTTTTGTTGCGTTAAAGCTAGTCCGTCCTGGCAAACTAGATTGGTCAAGTGTGTTTGAGAGGATCCATTTTAAGGGGTCTTATCTAGTGTCCATCATATTAAAAGAAAAAAAATTACACGAAGTATTTTGGAAGTTATCAACAAAAAACCGATTTTCAGAGGCGTCCTTCAGGGGCACGTAACTTCGTAGGGGGGCCGTGGGAATTTTTTTTTCATAAGAAGTTAAGTATAAAAAATATAGGATTGTTTTCTAAAACGTTCTCTTTTCCTGGCAGTAGTCTTACAGGCGAGTCATTTTTATTTTTATAATTTTTCCTTCACATTTTTAGATTCTCCCTTATAATTTTTTCAATAAATTTTACCATCAGTGCATATTATCATATCATTGTTGAGTTTTTACCTGATAAATCTTATCTTATCTATTCTTGTAATATAAATATTATATTTTAATTTTTTATCTATTTGCGGGCCTCCATTTTGTGTGATTGGTGGTTCCACGTTTTTCTGAGGTAAGTCAATTCAGTTTTTGGGCTTATAAATAGGTACTGCTGCTCTGGTTTTCAGAATCAACTGTAAGTGTGGGAATATTAAACCATTTGCTCTAAATAAAGTCGATGAAAACCAAATTTGTGTGTCCATCCCTATCAACTCTTTATTGAATTCAGGCAGAGGCCTATATAGCCATTTTCTGTTTGACTCCATCAATTATTATCTCAATTGTTATCTTCTCGAAGGGAAGATTATTGGAAAATGGTGTAATTTTCTAAAATAGAAATCCTGACAGGTCAAAAATTCATTTAAAAAAAGTTTTAATTAAAACATCTCAAGAATTTTGACAGTTCCTGGATTTGATTGATTTCACCCTCTGGTTTATCTTGTAGTACCTATAGTTGCTACCTTGGCTTAGAAGGAAAATTTTGTCTATTTGGGGGAGAATCTAAAGATTTAATTTCTTAATTTTCTATCTGATTTTGTCCATATTCTTGCCTGTTATTGCTACTGCCAGAAAAGCAGCACACTGCTCAACCTGTAAGGAGCATTTCAATTTAATCTTGTTGTTATTATTTATTTTTATGATAATTTTTTCAATTATTTAATTGTATTTTTTTATATTAAAATATTTTTTTTCAATTTGCAATAGTTGCTCGTACCTAATTCTGTTGGAAAGGAGTGTCTGCACAAGAATGGTTTTATAATAAACTAATTTCATATTAATTTTTTGTTCTTTGCAAGACAGTCAGTTTTTGACAGAATTCAGGGATTTGATATTCCAAACATTGGTGAACCTGATACTGCCTTATTCTTTTCTGGGAACCTACTGGATATCACTATTTAAAGTCTGGACTAGCTGGATTGACATCATCCCAGCAATCTATCCTCTTTCCTGGATACAGGAAACAACACGAAGAGCTCCAGTTTATGAAAGTGAAACCCCAACACCCATTGAAGAGCTCTGGATTGGAAAACTACATGGTATCAGATTCACCGGAACAACCAAGCTGTCAACTGTCATGTTTTACAGAAAGTGGCATTGTCACTATATTGTTAAATATCAAATAAAATTATTGTTTGTTGGATTTTGAGTGGTTTCATTTGCACATAAAGAGACTACACGTTATCTTATTTTTTTTGAATTCCACGACCCTAAGGTTCTCTTATCTTAAAGTTCAAATAACGAGGTTTATTTCTAACAACATGAAACTATTTGTCAAAACGCTGGTCTAGTGATTTAGTTTCCTATTTAAACAAACTTTATTCAAAAGCGGCCTCGCCTGATTGGTCTATTTCATAATGAGGGAAATAATCATATATTATATCACAAGAGCTTTAAATTTAATCGATTAAACTATCCAACATATTTTGAGCATGATTTTGCTTGGAAAATAGTTGAATGCACAATAACTTAATAAAAGCCCGAAACCGCGAAGCGGTCGAGGGCTTTTATTTAAAAGTTATTGTGCATGAAACTATTTGCCAAAAAGTAAAATTATGCAAAAAATATTTGGATAGTTTAATCCATTTAAATTTATAGGTCGAGTGGTATACGGCTAGATTATTTCCTGAATAATTAGGATTGAATTGTTGGCGTCAATCCTATCCAAAGAGTTCTATTTATTATAAAATGTCAGAATATTTCTATCAAAATTGTGTCAAAAAAGGTAAACAAAAATTTAATCGCTGATAAAAAAGGTCTTGTGAAATAATCACTTATTTAAACAAAATTCATTTAAAAAATGACGTTGTCTGATGGGTCTATTTTATAATGAATGAAATAATCATTAAAAATCATTCTGGTTCCAATTTGACAAATAACCGATCGCGAAATTAAACTCACTGGATTTTTTCATATCTAAAACTTATTCTTCGAAAATTGCTAATTGTTCCGAATTAATGTACCTATCTAATACTTGACTGCACCCTCATTAACAAGAACATTAGCGCTTGAGAATTGTCAAAATTATCGGAAAAATTCTTTCAACTACCCTATGCAATTAAATATTAAAAATCTAATATAGATTTGATCTAAATCTAGAGCCGAATAGTTGCAAGTTCTTCCCTGATGATTATCAATAAGCAAATTGACGAACTTCATATCTGCGAAAAATCATTAAAGCGATTCTAAAGGCTCATCGATGTTTGCTCCAAAAAATTTTCTAAACAATCTTAAACCTAGAAACTCAAGTAAGGTCAGAAAAATCTTTACCTGTTCAACAGTTTCCCCGTGAAAGCTTCCACTAATCGCCTGTGATGAAACTCATTGTGAAGATTTTCAATTACCGAAATAAACGGAATGCCACTGCTGCTGCTTGTGCCAAAGCAATTTCCTGGAAATTAAAAGGAACATTGAATAGCTATTTTTTTAATTTGAAATACATTTAAATTGTTACGTCTAAAATAGATTCTTTGAAGAAAACGATTCCTAGATAAGCAACCTTTTATCATTATCCTTAAAGTAAATTCCTTTATCCTGCTTTGTGCCAATTAATCCTAAAGAATTTTACTTAACAAGTCTCACATTAATCCGTACTGATATTAAATATACAAAGTAAGGAGCACAATTTCCAGGATTCTAGGGGCGAACGGACCCTCTTTCTCGGTTTCCTAATCGGATGGCGCGTCGGGGGCAAATTGCTGATTTTATGGTTTCTCTACAGTGTATCCCCTTGCATGGTGCCGGCTTAAGGTGAGAGACCTACGAACGCTTTGTTCCGTTTTTCGTCGTGAGTAAATTAGTTCAGGAGCGTAGAGGGGTTCATAAAACTTTCAGGCGCCACCCTTGAAGTCAGGTGCAGGGTCTCCAGTGTGAACTTTATCGGAATTTTTTCATGAATATGAACATTTTATAGTTTAATAACAAAAAAATGTAGAAAATATTCTCACTTTGAAGGGCTTCAATCCGTAAAGTTGGTAATGAAAATTGTTGTCGAAACGGCTCTTTGTCTCGAAAAGGAATGAAAGTAGTATAAAAATGTAGGTACTATTATTGCAACAGAAATAGGTCATAACTTTTCATCTTTTAAAAATAAGGTAGGTAAACATATAATGATTCCACTTTTTATTAAAGTGAAGAAAGCGTTTCTGATAAAAGTTTATGAAACTCCGTTACTTCCTTGTTGAAATATGTTTTTCATAGCCAAAGAAGGCAGTTGGCTACACATTTTACGGAAAACTTGCATCTTTAATAATTTTGTTTAATATATTTTTGCAGATCGTAAATAATAGGTTTATTAATATTAAATATGTATAATAGTAGGTATACATATGTACAAATATTATATACCTTCTGATAGCTCAATCCGAATCGTCGATAAGTTTTCGGCTATTCAGTTGTAGTTTCTATTTTAGATCCGAACTCTGTAGTCATCCCAAGTATGTATATTAAGTCTTAGGCAAATATTCTTCTTATTCATTCAACAATTTCAATATTCTCTGCTTTTTCTTAGTGTCAATCTTTCATGATTCATTTTGTTCGGGAGGAGTTAAAGCGGCGATATTTAGATGTAGGTACCTATGTCCATACTAGTGTCAGTATTCTCATTCATTTTCCCATGATGATTTTTCTTAAATTTTTGTCAAGAACCAAGTAAGTTGAGAAACTGTACTGATACGAAAAGAGAGCCCGACTCCTCAATTTGAACCGGAGGCCGGAGCGCGAGTATTCAGGAATACCATTGGTGAATATAGATATACAAACCTTAACGTCATTCTAGAGATCTCTCGAATAAACAATTTTTTATTTAAAGCGCGTTATCTATAAGCCAGTGCGTCAATTTGAATAATGGCCGTTTCCACCAACTATTTTAGGGGAGCCTTAACGATAAGTATTCCCTAAAATAACATTTTTTCATGGAGAAATGTCAGTTTAAGAAATACTTATCGTTAAGGCTCCCCTAAAATAGTTGGTGGAAACGGCTATAAGACAATTAATTGTTGAATAAACTTGAGGATAAGTGATATAAGTATTTAGTAGATTTTCGGAAGTCAAACCTGCGAAACCCGTGGAAATTTGGTATCAAAAATGCGTACCAGTATTAGGCAATCCCGATCATGTGATTTTATATGGCCGTTTAGTGCCGGTATTCTCATTCTCGAAAACGCTCACCGCTTTTTAGTCGCTCGGCACTTTCAATGTTAATTTACATTCGAAGTGCCGAGCGACTAGAAAGTGCTGAGCGTTTTCGAGAACGAGAATACTGGCCCAGGTCAGATTCTGCCAATGTCAAACCTAAATGTCCAGAATGTGACAAAATATGTAGTTTTTCATTGATTTTTATCAGTAACCAAATGTAAACAACACGGTGTCTGACACTTCCATATTGAATTTTGTTTGACAGGTCATGCGAATCATGGGATTGCCTAATTAAAAATTTGGTTAGCATCCCTTTTCACTTTACTGTAAGGTGTGACATCTTCTACCTATTTAGTTTAGTATCATCAGCCTCGCTAGAACTATCTGAACAATTTCTTATAACTCCTTCTTGTTCTAATATCCAGAGTAAAATGAACGTTCACATCTGAATTATGATCGCCATTTACGGCATCAAAGAACTTGTTTCCATCGTCTTCAGACTCTCTGGTAGCTCTATGTGCATGCGCATTCGCAACTCACTCACTCGTACTGGAAAAGCTTTGCCATTTTGTGCCTGTGAGTTTGAGCTATTTTCAAATACTCAGCGCACGAATTCATGATGGCCTTACTGGAAATCCGGAACAATGTAGCCCGGTCGCAGACCTCCTCAACTTTATTGACTAGAGTGAATTCATTTTCACTGCTTGGCCAATTTTTTCCATTGCTTGCCTAAAAGTCTTCCCCAGAACATTAGGAGCACCCTGTAATGTTTTCTCCACATCAAGATCCTCAGACATGCTGGATTTTTCAGCATCAACATCATCTTCTTCCGATTCCATAATCCATATTTCTAATTGCCTTATGGAAAGTTTGTGGGCCTCCATTAGAAAAAAAAAAACACAATGTAGAAGTGTTAGTTAGGTCACAGAAGTGCTTTTAGATTTGTGCGTCATTCCTACTTGATTTCTGAAATAAGACAAATAGCGTTTTGGAGCAATTAACGTGTATTTCTACGAAAATGAGAATCAATTTTTATTACACGTTTTCTATTGAACCGAATTTTAATAAGAGAACTGTTGTATAAAGTAAAAGGGATTAAATTGATTAGTGAATTTTGTCACGAAAAGTTGTTGTTGTTAATGAAGAGAGTTTTAGGGGACCCGCAGAATCAATGAAAATGTAGTGTTAGAAGTGGGATAATAAAAGAGACAATTGCTTTATTAATCTGAGCTAATTAGTGCAATGATTGGCGAGATAACTAGTGGATTATTTTGAGGAACGATAAGTAAAGTGTTATTGAACTGATCAAGTGAGCTTATTACTGATTTTTCTAGAACATCGCTACAAACAGTGGAAGCCCGAATGTCTGTCTTCAGGCGAAAGGAGAGGATGCTCGACAAAAAAAAAACAAGAAGAGATAGTCCGAAGACAGAAAGAAAATTAACTAGCCAGAAGGGTGCTTGATCGTGTCTACTAGAAAGTTTCCTGGAAAATCAACCGATTGTTGATTTTTGTAGAAAATTTTGGAAAGTGAGGTTACTATCGGCCGTTCAGGTATGTAAATCCCTTTTTTTCTCTGATGAATGAGTCCTTATATTCCTTCAATTCATTCAGGCACCTTCGGCAGGATGAAAAATCCGTGAAGGCACTTCTCCAAGTGAAAATTCACAAATTTGAGGCCACGCTGTCCTGGAAACTCAGAGCAAATCGGGGCCCCCTTTTAAAGGAAATTTGTGTCCAGTTAGAAGTTGATCCCCAACCATTATTTGGTTGTCTCCAGCCAGTTTGGTACTTCCAGATCTCAAATTTGTGAAAACTTCCGAAGCTTTACAAGGATTCCGTCCAGGCTTGTATAATTATTTACCTATGGGCGTCTTATACGTGCCATCTTAATTACCGTATTTTTTTTTTACCTTTTCTTTATCGCCCCCTATCGATTAGCTTTATTAGCTAATTAATATCTTTGTAAATTCAATTACCGACTTAAACGTTTACCGTATAGTAGTATTTAGCTATAATAGCTAGCTAATTGATTATTATCAGAGTCAGCTATTGGCTTTTATTACCGTTTTCTCAATAATTATTTATTATTCAATAAGTATGCAATATTATAATTATTATAAATTTATTTCCGTTATATCGAGTACTAATCGATATAATACAGGGTGTTAATAAATAGTGGGATCAAACTTCTAGGATGAATAGTAGTACTCATTAAAATAAGAAAAAAGTTGATGGAAACATAGTTCCGCAAATGTTTAGTTTTCAAGATACAGGGTGTCAAAGTTTGAGAAAATCGGTTTCTCGAATTTTTAGCTTGGCAGATTTGTTTGTAATAATATCAAAAGGTATATCTTCCGATTCAATTAGATTTTCCTTAATTATTCCAGTGGCGCCCCAGAGGACAATTACGTTGGTAAAAGTAGAAAAAAATGGCATGTCACTATTTTTTTATAACTTTGATATTTTTGCAGATTAAGTCATATTACAGTCAAAACTCAAAATATACCTTTTGTTATCACAAACAAACCTGCCAAATTTGAAAAAGAAAATTGGAAAAGAGATTTTTGAGCTAAAAAACCGATTTTATTTCAAACTTTGACACCCTCTATCTTGAAAACTAAGCATTCGCGGACCCATGTTTCTCTTTACTTTTTTCTTATTTTAATGGGTACTATTTATCCTAGAAGTTTGATCCCGCTATTTATTAACACCCTGTATATTGGTGGGTTCATTAACCTTTAAAAGGTTTACTTAACTTTTGATTTCAAATTAATAATGTGTAATGTTTTACAAGGTAAACTAATGTAAAATCTTTAGGTAGTCAAATTTAAGTTTTATGGTTACCTATTTTGAACTTTAAAGGTAAGAAGGTAGAGCTCTTCCCGAAGCCGTGACCCCCTGATTTCATTTAGCAGGTTTTTGATATTTATATCTGTCTAGGGATTATTTATTAAATTTCTGCATTGATTAATTTGTTTTCTATTGATTTGATTGACTTTGAGTCAAAAATTAAAGGTTAATTGTATTTTGACTTCAATATTTATACTTAGGTAATTCTCATCGTAGGTATCTATTTAATTGTTTTTAAATTTCAATCTTTTTATATACCTATTCAAATTAAGTTTGGCTTCCGTAAGCTGCAATTTTTTTCAATAAAATTGGATACTGAACAATATTCACCTTTGAACAATTGAACAACAAGTTCGCCATCCGGTCAACAAATTGTTAATGAACAACAAGTTCGACATCTGG